TCAGAGGAAACAAAGCTGAGGAGTTGCCCTTCTGGGATAGGGACAAAGGTGGAGACTGTGGGTGGATAGGTCATCAGGCTGGCAGAGGGCTGCAGGACTTTTAGGCAAAAGGGGTGGAGACTACCTGAGGGGACCATGTTGGGGAGGGGGATTGGAGGACCTGTGGTGCACATGAAAGGGAGGCAGATGGTGTATTGTTTTGGGACCAGAAGACTTGAAGAGGAGTTAGTGTGGGTGAGAGGCGCTGTTGTTTTAGGGGTCAGTGCCATGTTGGGCAGGTATCCTACTGAGCCTGACAGAGTCTCGCACAAGTAGAACCCATCACAAAGCATTTCACTTGTTGTGATGCTGTCATGCAAGGTGTTTCCCCCGATTCTCCTCTTATCAGTGTTATTTGTATACAAGCATGCTATTAATTTTTGAGTTTTGACTTTGTACCCAGATACATTTTTGAATTTGTTTGTTAAATCTAGAAGTCTTTTGGTGGAGCTTAGGAGTCTTCTATGTAGAGAATCATGTCATCCATGAATAGTGACGTTTAACTTCCTTTCTTACCTTATTCCTGTTGTTTCTTTTACTTGTCTAGTTGATCTGACTAATGTTTACAGAACTATATTGAATAGGTGTTGTGATAATGGGCATCCTTGTCTTTTCCTGAAGTGAAAGCTTGCAGTGTTTGAACATCTCATATGATGTGGACTATTGGTTTGTCATAGAAGGCTTCCAATAGATTTGGATTTACTTTTTTTTATATATACTTGGAATTGAACTCATGACCTCATGCTTGCCAGGCAGGTGCTGTGCTGCTGAGCTATATCTCAACCAATGGACTTTGTATTTTAGTTTTCTTTAAGGTTTTTGTCACAGATGGGTGTTAGGCTTTGTCAAATGGGTTTTTTGCATCTATCAAGATGGTGATGTGGTTGTTGCCTCTGGTTCTGTTAATGTGACTTGCATATTGCATCATCCCTGTATCCTGGGATGAATTCTACTTGCATGCAATGTATAATCTGGTTGATGAATTGATGCATTCTGTTTGCCAGTATCTTACTGAGGGTTTTTGTATCTATGTTCATTAAGCAGATTTGCCTGTAGTTGTCAGATTTGTTTGGATCCTTTTCTGGTTTAGGTATCAGGGTAACTTTTGCTTCTGGAAAGGCTTCACTTTCAGTTTCATTAAAAAGCTTGTGGAGTAGTCGCATTAGATCTGCTCTAAATTTCTTATAGTAGTCAGCAATGAATCCATCAAGACCTGGATTTTTTTTGTTGGTAGTTTTTGTTACTATTATTATTAATAGTATTAAATTTCATGGGATGAAATTGGGCTATTTAGAATTTGTATATTTTCTTGATTCAGCTGGGATAATTAATGTGTATCTAGGAATCTATCCATGTCTTTTCCAGACATTTTGTATCTCATTAACGATTCTCAATGTAAGCATTGATGATCTTTTGAAGTTTTGCAGGATCTGTTGTGATTTTTCCCTTTTCATTCCTAATTGTATGAATTTGACTCTTCTGTTTCCTTTTTTTTGTTTGTTATTTGATTAACTTAGCTAAACATTTGTCTATTATATTTGATTTTTCAAGAACCGACTCTTCAAGGCATTGATTCTTTCTGTCATTTTCTTAATCTCAATTGTATTGCTTTCTGCTCTGATCTTTAGTTATCATTTAAATTCTCTTGCATTTTTTTAAGCATATTCTGGGAGGTAGGAGGTAGTCTATTTTAGAGAAAGTCCCATGTGTTGAGAGGAACGTGTGTTCTATGATTGAGTGAACACTGAGTAGGTATCTACTAAGCCCATTTGTTCAAAGATGTGGTTCCTCCCTTGTATTTCTTTCATGAGTTTTCTGTTCTCACTCACTCACTGTGGGATTCTGACATGGGGAGCCCTGAGATGAAGTCACCCCGTAACTACTCCTCATCACAAGTTAAGGTGGCCCCTCCCTAAGTGGCATCTGGCCTAGCAATCTCTCAGGACATGGTGGGCTGTTGGCCTGAGCTCACTCCAAGGCCAGCTGCTTTAGCATGCATCCCTCCTGATGTGTATCTCCTTGGCGGGCTCTGGAGTCATCCACCCTCAACCCTCACCACCTTGGTGGATTTGATCCTGCTCTCATGTTGTGAAGCAGAGGCTGGGTAGAAAATGCACTTAGCTACCTACTTTTTCTGTATTGTAATCTGTTACTTCACTTGCACTGTGGATCCAGTTTTCCCTCAAGATACTTCCTGGGTCCTGGGTGTTCACCTCATCCTTTATTTATTTATTTATTTATTTATTTACTGTGGTGCCAGTTATTAAACTCACAACCTGGTGCTTGCCAGGTGTTGTGGTCAGGGGTTGTGAGGCGAACAATTAGAATCAGGACATGGAATTTATAATATTTTATTATGGTCACCTAGAGTTAACAAGGAAGTGCAGGAAATCTATCCACAGCACTAAAGACCCAGAATATTTAACCAAGGGCCTGAATCCCACAGCAATGTTCTACATGAGTGCAGATGATAACCTAGAGCCCATGACAAAGGCTCTCACAAGTCCATCTGGAGGTCTAGAGCCCATGCAAAGGACTCATGTCAGTCTGTTTTATGGATCCACGCTGGGAAGGCCCAAAGGTGAGCAGTGGAAGCTAGAAAGTTCATGCCAGCAGAGTGAAGGAGCTGTGCTGGTGAGATGAGGGTTCTCTGCTGGAGCCAAGAAGTCATGCTCAAAATAAAGACCAGGGCTATCCTAGGAAGCACCACAGCCATTCTCAGTGACACTGAGGTTCTGAACTCCTCCAACAATAAGCACATTTGAGTGCATGCCAGGAAGCCAGTCTGAGTTTGTCCTGGAGATTAAATGGCACACATTTTCCCCTCTGGAGCCAGGAAGCGGTGCTTGATGTAAGGACCACAGCTCCCCAAAGTGCACCACAGTCACTCTCACCAGCAATGTCCCGAGCTCCTGGGCTAAATCCCCAGCTCTTGCCTTATCTTTTGTTCCCCAAGTTGTTACTTTCCAGTGTCTGGATTTGAAGTCGTAGAGAGGTTGATTTGAGCTGCTGTGCATCACTCTGCCATCTGCCCAACAGTCCCACAGAAATACATATTTGATGACACAAAGATTAACCAGATTGAGCTGTACAGTGAAAAGCCAATTCATAGTCACATCTGTGCCTCCTGGGCAATAGAAAAAAATCAGCAACAATAATAGAGTTAAACAATCAGAAGGCTGAGGCAGGATGATCACCATGAGTTTCAGCACAACTGGGTTTCATAGTGAGTTGAAGTCCAGGCTGACTTGCATAGTAAGTGATTGTCTCAAAACACACATGTGCACACACATTAGTCACTAACAGTCTGGATATGGAAGTGTCATAAAATTCAATTGGCACTACCATTGTACATCTTTAAGTATGTGGGAAAAAATATATAATTTTAATATAGGCAGGAAGATGATCCAAATAGTGATATATAATAAATATGTATTGAAGACAACATCATGCCACCATTAGCAATAGAAAAGAATTCAGCCTTAACAGCATAGTTAACTAAATATCTAAAGAGTAGTAAATATTAATAATAGTACAGGTAGAAGCAGTGGGGAGCAGCAAAGTGAAAAAAGTGAAATTTGAAAAATAGTGGAAATAGGGGCTGGGGATTTAGCTCAGCGGCATAAGCGCCTGCCTTGCAAGCAGGCAGTTGTGAGTTCGATCCCTGGTACCGATAAAAACGAAAAAGACAAAAAAAAAAAAAAGAAAAAGAAAAAAAAAGAAAAGAAAAATAGTGGAAAGGAACATGAGGGAGAAAGGCAAGTGAGAAAAAGGTAAAGGACCCTAATAAGTCAAAGAAAAATAATAAAGTTAGATAAAAGTAACAGAAAGCAGTGAACAGAGAAATAGTTTGAAAAACCTCAATAAAAAAACTAAAAAGAGCAAACCTAAAACTTTCAAAAAAGGAATAATGTTTCCTGTCAGGGACTTCCTGACAGGAAGAATGCTTGTGATGCAGAAGTGAACATGCACGGCATATGTCTGATGACTGCTTGGTTTTCACTGCCTGCAGCAGTGGGTGTAAGCATTTCTGTGAGTGAATGCCGAGGCCCCCTTCCCTTTCCTCATTGGTCCCTGGCATCCACCTTGAGCCTGTGTGCACTGCAGCCTTTTCCAGTTTCTGTACTGACTCCCTGAGTCACTGCTTGCCTTTCCTAGCCCTAAGCTTCCAGGGCTTGTGATGTGCTCCCCACCCAACTCCACAGGCCTTTCTGTGAGTGCCCTGGTCTGTGACAGTCATCCAAGCTGAGATGACTTCTTGGTCACATAGGGACAGGAAGAAAGCAAACAGCACTGTTCTGCTGGATTTGGGCAGCAGAGTGCAGGTTCAAGGAAACCCCCAGGCTTCATGCCAACACTTAGACCAAATGCCCTCCAGAAGCCACAGTGGACTGACTTGGCTTCTCAGCAGATAGGACAGGGTGTCTGTGTCATTCTGGGCCTGAGCCCAGACCTAGGGAGCAAGGATGTGTCCATTGCTCACGGCTGTCTCCCACCCAGTCACCGTGAAGTAATAGGTGTTGGGTACCTCAGTCTTACACAGGGAACCTCCCTAAAATAGCTGCAGGGAAAACCCTTCAGTTGGGCATCCACCGCACTGGTTACTTCTCCAGCTCCAGTCTGCCATGTGAGAGGAGTCACTTACACAGTTCAGCCCACATCACTTTTGCTGATTCCAGTAGCTGTGGGCTTTGCTCACTGGGGCTTCGACCCTCTCTGGGCTTACATGTGTCAGCAGAGACAGGTCTCGTAGCCCCTCATTTTTTGGTGTTGCTGGTGGTATTTTTACAAGTGAGATTACTTGTGAGTCAGGCAACTTAATAAAAGTGTGATAAACAGGAGTGAATTCTGAGATCATAAAGCTTCACAAGAATGGGTGAGAGTTACATGCCGATGCCCAATGACCAGCCGTAAGGGATTTTCCCCTCAAGGTACTCAGACCTTTTCTTTTCCCCCCACAGGATCTTGCCTTGTGGCACAGGCTGACCTGGAGCCTGTGATCCTCCTGCCTCTGCCCCCGAAATGCTGGGACTGCATGCAATGTGTGCACTGCTGTGCCTCAGTTGAATTGGAGACTTGATCAACAGCTGGAAACAGAGGCCAAGAGGCAGGTAGGAGCTGTTTCAGCATGCATTGGATTTTATCTGGAGAAAAAATGGGATCTGGCAATTGTAGATGAAAACTCTTGTGATGATAAGTGAACATGCACAGCTGTTGAAGTCTGTCAGGAGGCCTTAGGTTCCAGGGAATGACCTGGTTGCACACAGGATCCTGGCCTCAGGTGCTCACTGCAGAGTCTGCTGTGTGTGTGGGGTGAGGCTGGCCAGAGCCCTTTCTCGGGCATTTTTCTTAATTACTAAAGCGTAAAAGTGCTTTGAATTGAATTGTACTGCTGAAACTATTGAGTGGCTTTCAAAGGAGAGAGGAACAGGAAGTCAAGGGAGGAGCACTGAGCTCCCCAACAGGTCACAGGGAGCCATTGTCACCTCATGTCTAGAGACACAGAATGAATGAAGCTCAGGAGAGTAGGAAACTGGGGCCTGTGGCCACCCCTCTGGCATTGGGAGGGGTGGGAACACAGCCTTCGGGTTCTTGTCAGGGGCTGGGGCCTCAACCAAGCCCTTTCCCTTTCCTGGCTGATGCTGGGCCGGGCCAGGGCCCTTGTGAGATTGGAAGAATGTGTACTAAGCTTTTGCAGGCTCTTGGATTTAAGTCTCACCTAAGTAATCATTGAGTAAAACGTGGCCTCAGAGCTGGATTCGCCTTCCAGTAAACTACAGAGTCCATGGGCTTCTCTGCAGATGCTGCCCCAGCCCTGCCTGTGCAGGCTCCTAGCTGCAAGCCTGGGGCTTGGAGGTCAGACATGGTGGAGAGGCTCAGGTCAGCACCCTTCCTGTCTGGAGCCTTGGCAGGCATCAGTGGCAGTTCCTGCTATGGCAGATGGTGTTTGCGTTCACTGAGCTCATTAGCTTCTGTATGCAGCCTGTGTTTTTCCTTCCCCTTCCCCCTCTTCAGTCCTTGCCCTCTTGGACCACTTTTCTATTGTGAGAGATCCATCCCTTTGTCCCTTTCTATCTATCCTTTATTATTCTCTTTCTACTTTGCCTCACTCTAATGTGAAATACCATGTGGTATTTACCTTGTTGCTCTGGTTTATTTCACTCAACTTTGTATTTTCCAGGTACATTTATTTTCATGCAAATATCCCATGTTTGTATTCTTTATAGCTAAGTAGTACTGCAGTACATATAGATACCATATTTTCTTTATCAAATTGTCTGTTGGGGGTATATAAGCTGCCTTCAGGATTTAGCTATTACTGGTTATGCTGCTATAAAGATTGGTATGCATGAGTAACTGTAGTATCAAGATCTTTGGGGGATGTTTTACGTCTCTCTCACTGGACATGAGATACCGGAAACCCCGAGTTAAAGGAATGAATGTTTTATATAGTTCGGTTTGTGGAGGTTTCAGTCTGTAATCAGATAGATGCAAAGCAGGTTGGCATGGCACAGAGGCAACATTTCAAGGTGGTAGAACACAAAGCAACAAGAGCACAGAGCATGGGGTACAAGCCTCTTTTCCTCCCTTATGTTGTGAGCAGGCTACCGTGGGTACAGCTCTCACAGCATCTCCCTGCCTTCACCTTGTTCAGGATGAGGGTGTTTACAAAGTGGGCACCTGGCCCCCTGCTGAGTCATTTGATTGACCCTCTGAACTTCTCATGTTGACACAATGAACAGCATCCCAGAGCTGTTGGGCTTGTCCTGTTGGGTTATTTAGTTAAGCTTCTCAATTCTCAAGTTGATACAGTGTATCAACTGTGACAAGGAAGATACTTCAAGGGGAAGACTGGGTCATACAGTATTTCTAATGCTAGTTCTTTGAGAAACCCCCATAGTTATGCCATAATGCTGGTACTAATTTACATTCCCACCAACAAAGAAGGATTCTTTTTTTGTGACAGCCTCATCCAGAATTTGATACTGTTCTCATTTCTTAATGTTTGCCATTCTTTACAGAGAAACATGTAAATTTTGTTTCTTTTTCCTTTTTTTAATAAAGAATTTATTGAAAGAAAAAAAAGCTTCTCAGTAAGAGAAAAATAAGGAGGTCTAGCCTCAACACGGAATCGTATCAGGGTTATACATTACATTTCTGTAATGGTCAGAGATTTTGAACATTTTTTTCATAGACTTGTTGATCATTGGTATGTCTTCCTCTGTGAAGTATCTGTTCATTTCTCTTGCTTATTTTTGACAGTCTTTAATTTCAGGTGTCTTAATTTTTGAGTCTTTGCGTATTATTAGATATTTGTCCTCTGTCTGAGGACTACCTGGCAAAAATTACTATTCAGTGGCTAAGGTTCTCATTAGAAAATGTTTTTTGGGACTGGGGATGTAGCTCAGTGGCACAGCACCTGCCTGTCAGGCATGAGATATCATGAGTTCAATCCCTGGTACAAAAAAAAGAAAGAAAAAGAATAGAAAATAAAATATTATGCTATACTGGTATCTTCAAGTGTTTTGTCTGTTTTATCTTCAGAACATCTAATGTTTCTGTTTTAATGTTGATCAACTTTGATTTTACTTTATGTCCAGTTTCCATCCTTGCAAACACATAACCAGTTTTACCAGCACCAGTTGTTCAATGGGCTGTCTTTTCTGCAGCCGATGCTTCCGGCTCCTTTGTCTAAGATCACGTAACTGCGTGGACATGATAGTGCATATCTCTAGTGAGAACACGCAGGAGACTGAAGCAGGAAGATTGCTTGAGTTCAAGGCCAGCCTGTACTACATAGGAAGTTAAAGACCAGTCTGAACTGCTTGGAGAGACACTCTCTCCACCAAATGAAAAACAAAACAAAGCAAAATGAATGAATGTGTCTGGGAAAGATTCTATATCCTGTATTCTGATCCATTGATGCATACATCTGTTTTTCTTCCAGTAATGTGCTATTTTTATCACTATTGTTTTGTGGTATAACTGAGATTAGGAATTAACTGTGCCTTCTCTTGTTTTGCTTTTGTTGCCTAAAATTTCATTTGCTATTCTGTGTGTCTTCTGTCTTTATATACATTTTAGGATCATTTGCTCAAGTTCTGTAAAGTACGCTGTAGAAAATTCAGGATGTTGGCACATGTTTGTAATCCCAGCACTTGGGAGGCTGAGGCCGGACTATTATTGCTAGTTCAAGACCATTCTGAGCTATGAAGTGAGCTCAAGGCCAGCCTGAAATGCATAGTGAGAACTGTTATAACTCGGGCCCCGGTATAAAATCTAAGGAAACAAGAGTCCAAAAATTTAAGTAGCAAAGGCTTTATTGAGCCAGTCTGGGTGGCACAGTCTCTCCTGGATCGACCCAAAGACTGCGCGCCCAAGACTGGGGAAAGGGGTTTTTAAAAGTAAGGGAAAGTGGGGGGAAACCTGCGAGGCCATTAAACCTGTTGACCTGCATCTGGAAACTGTATTGCTGTCCACTTAGCTCTGACAATCTCGGGAGTTCCTGGTATTCCTTAAATTACTCCCATCCTGCAGACTGACATTATCTCAGAGTGGCACGTCTGCAGCAATATTTGGAGAAGAAAGTGGAGAGTTAATTATCTCAGGACAGCTTGTCTTCGCTAGTGAGTGCGAAGGGGTCACGAGTTATGAGACGCTGGAACTTAAGTTTTACAAAGATCTGATATCTAACTCATTTGATACATACAGAACAAAAGGAAAGCACCGATCGGGGTTTGGGCCATAGTGTTACCCGGTAATTTCTTTTAAGCTAAGCAGTTCTTAAAATTGGGGCAGGCTCATTTTATGACAGATCATCACCGGGTCGGGGAGAGGTCACAAGAAACCCAAATTCTTTATGGCCCAGATAGGTGGGTGGGGGGAGGCAATAAGGCGCATTACAGAACAGGAAAACGGCGAGTATCTATCTTGTGGGAAAAGTAACTAAGGTTAGGTAAAAAGGTTAAACTCATACACAAATCTCCCTGCATATAAACAAGTTATTTCAAACAATGTGTAAATCAGTGGGCCTTCTAGTCTTCTTTAGCTCTTTAGCGAAGAATAGAGGTGCCTAACCATGATTAACAACCCTTGTTAGCTTGTTTTAGCACCACTCTTCTTGTTTGTAGAGGGCCGCTCTGGTTAACATCTCAATTAAGTGAAATTCTTGCAGTTCTTTACAGAGGAGAGTATTGCTCAACATTTCAATTGGGTCACTGAACATATCAGTTGGGGAAAAAGGATAGAAAAAAAAAAACATTTAGTAAGCCACGGTACAGGTTTGCTATAATACACAAAATGATGAAGCTACTTTCTTAGAGTACAACAAGAACCTGTCTCAAACAATAAATAATGTATGCTGTTGGTGTTTTAGTTGGGACTGCATTGAATCTGTATAACTGTTTTGTGAGGAAAATGGCCAGGTCTTTTGTTGTTTTGGTTTTTTTTTTTTTTTTTTTTTTTTTTTTGGTACTGGGGATTGAACTCACAACCTTGCAGTTACCAGGCAAGTGCTTGAGCTGCTGAGCTAAATCCTTGGCCCTTGGCCAGTTTTGATAATGCTGCATCTTTCTATTCAAGAAAAAAGGATGTCTTTCCATTTCCTGATGTCTTCTTCAATCTCTTTTCAGAGTGCTGTAGTTTTTAGAGGTCTTTTTATTTTCCTTGGTCCAGTTAATCCATAGAGTGTTGTTTTCATAATTTCCTTTTTACTCAGTTTGTTACTGGTGTTTACAAATGGTAAAGATTTTTGTGTGTCACTCTTGTATCTTGCTGTGTTGCTGAAGTTGGTTCTGCGGGAGATTTTGGGTGCTGTTACGGTTGATACATTGTGTCAATGTAAGCTTAAAAGTTTTCTTAACAGGCAGTCAAGACCCTTTGTAAATACCTTGTTCTGTGTAACAGGAGGAAGCACAGATTTTGTGTGTGGTGTATCTGCCCTGGG